GGTAGAGCGCTAGCCTTGAGCTGAAGAGCTGAGGGACAGCGCCCAAGCCCAGAGTTCAGGCCCCACAACTGGACCCCCCCCCCCCAAAAAAAAGAAAAAAAAGAAAATGAACTTTACAACTTTGGTGGGGGGGGGAGCATTGGGTGGGAGGGAAAGGGGAGGCTGGGAAGGGATGGGAAAGGAAAACAAAGGGGGAGGCTACAATGCTTGATAAGAAATGTACTCATTATCTTGCCCATCTAATTGTAATCCCTCTGTACAGTATTTTCACAATAAAAAATAAATAAAAATTTTAAAAAAGCCCCATGACCTGTACACAAACACACGCGCACACACACACACACACACACACACACACACACACACACACACACACACCAGCTCCCGCTCAGGTACCACTTCAGTGGCTTGCACATGTGCTGGAAAGTTAACCCAATGTGACAGTAGTGAGGGTTGGGTGACTAGGTTGTGGGGGAAAAGCCCTCATGCTAATGTTAGAAACGTGAGCATGGTTTTGAAAAATGAAAATCAGCTTAGCGCTTCTGCTATGCAGGAGCACAAGGAGCCTCTTACACTGGACACTACTTGTAAAACAAAAGCACAAGGTTAATTTTGTCTACATACAAAAGGAGTGAACATTAGTATTCATTTAAATATTTGTAAAGCATTCGAGACAATGTCCAGAACAGAGTAAGATCTAGCAAGTGATCAGTAAAATATAAACAATAAATGCAATAAAAGATGTGATGATAATATTGGTTTGTGGATATGGAGCTGATGGGTGAGGCACTATTCTAGTTAGAACATCAGGGAATGCTTCAGACTAAAAAGTGAAACTTTGGGCTGAGTTTGTAGCTGGTAGAGTTCCAGCCAGAGGAACCCACAAGTAAAGCTACAGAAACCTGAGAGTAATTAGTGGATGTATGCTGGACACATTAACAATGGTCTCAATACATCCCACAAAGCCTCGCGTAATCAAGACTATTTCTATGGCGTGGATATAATCCATGGGGAAATTTCAAGTTACCAGTGTAAGAACATTAAAAAAAATATGTGGAGTATGGAGTGAATCCTGTGATCTTAAAGTTTTTAGGTTGAAACCCTAACCCCTAACTGGTATGTGGAGATGGAGCATTTAGGAAGTCATTCTGGTTAATGAGATCTTAAAGGTAGGACCCTCATCCAATAGGGTTGTCTTTTTAAGAAATATATTTTTTTTATTATTTATAAGTAGTTGTACAATGGGGTTACCATTCAACATGTTAGTTTTTTAGTACAATGCACCTTGATCAATGTCATCCCCTCATCCTTCCCATCTCTACCCACCCCCTCAATTTTGATATGCATTGAATATTATAACTGCATTTTCTTCCCATCCTTCCTTCCACTCCATTCAGGAGGATCTCTTTGGTCTTTTCTTTCTTTCTTTTCTTTCTTTCTTCCTTCTTTCTCCTTTCTTTCTCTTCTTTCTTTCTTTTTTGGTGCTAGTCCTGGCTTGAACTCAGGGCCTGGGCATCATTCCTGAGATTTTTGGCTCAAGGATAGCATTCTTCCAGTTGAGCCAAAGCTCTATTACTGATTGTTGTTGTTTTGTCAGTTAATTGGAGATAAATGAGTTTTTCTGCCTGGGTTGGTTTCAAATCAGGATCCTCATATCTCAGCCTCCTGAGTATCTAGGATTACAGGTGTGAGTCACTGGTACTGAATTAGGTTGATGTCTTTTAAGAAGGGAAAGAGAGGGGCTGGGAAGGTGGCTCAGTGGTAGAGTGTTGCCTTGCATGCCTGAGGCCCTAGGTTCGATTCCTCAGCACCACATAAGCAGAAAAAAGCCAGAAATGGCACTATGGCTCAAGTGGTAGGGCACTAGCCTTGAGCTGAAGAGCTGAGGGACAATGCCCAGGCCCAGAGTTCAGCCCCGACAACCAACTCTCCCATGACCAACAACAACAACAAAAAAAAAAAAAAAGAAGGGAAAGAGACACCACAGTGTAGTGTAATTCCTCCTCCCAATGGAATTAACAGGAGTCAGGAAGATAGCCCTAACCAGGAAACGAAGCTGTTTACATCTTGTCCTAGGGCTCCAGGTTACCACAAATATAAGAACTAATTTCTGCTGATTAAGCTTGCCTGGCCTGTAGCATTTTGTTTTAGCAACCAGAGATAAGGCAATCACATAACAGACTTGCTAGCAGGAGAAGCAGTTCTCAAAATCTTGAGCATGGGCATCCAAGGAGTGAATGGCAGATATGAAGCCAAAATACTAGATGGCACAGGGCTGGAGAAGAGTGTGGGTGACTTAAGTAGCTTAGATTCTATCTTGTGTGGGGAGGGGTGGGGTGGAGGGTCAAGTCTGAGGCAGAGAGGGGATCAGATCATAGTTGTACCTTAGATAAATCTCTCTTGTAATTATGAGTAGATATAGGAAGATGCAGCCTGGAGGTGGGAGGATGGTTGCCATAGTCAAGGCAACTGGATAGAGGGGTTGGAGGAGATAGGTTTATCAGGAGTTGGGGAGATGCCATTGCAACCTGGGGACTGATGGGATACAGGTGGGCAAAGGTCAGACAACTTTTGACAAACTTCTAAGCATATTTAAGAAATCCTATCACTTTTTCCCCTCCCCCCATTTTTCCCCCCGTGCTGGTCCTAAGGCTTGAACTCAGGGTCTGTGCACTGGCCTTTATTTTTTTCACTCAAAGCTGGTACTCTAGCACTTGAACCACAACTCTGCTTCTGGCTTTTTGGTGGTTATTTGGAGATAAGAGTCTTGGGGGTCTTTCCTTCCCATGCTGGCTTTAAAATGCAGTTTTCAGATCTCTGCCTCCTAAATAGCCAGGATTACAGGTATAAGCTGGAGACTTGCTCACCCCCCCCCCATTTTAATTAGCATATATTAGTATACAAAGGAGTTTCATTATGATGTTTTCATACAAACAAAGGTTGTGTTCTAATTAAACTTATCCCCTCTACTACTCCTCTTCTCTTTTCTCTCTCTCTTTTTATGCTGGTCCTTGGGGTTGAACGCAGTGCCTGGTCACTGTCCCTGAGCTTTTGTGCTCAAGGCTAGGGTTCTATCACTTGAACCACAGCTCCACTTTCAGTTTTTTGGTGGTTAACTAAAATAAAAACCTCACAGACTGGGGCTGGGAAGGTGGCTCAGTGGTAGAGCGCTTGCCTTGCATGCTTGAGGCCTTGGGTTCGATTCCTCAGCACCACATAATCAAAAAGAAAAAAGCTGGAAGTAGTGCTGTGGCTCAAGTGGTAGAGCGCTAGCCTTGAGCTGAGGAACAGTGCCCAGGCCCAGAGTTCAGGCCCCACGACTGGACCCAAAAAAGCAAAAAACAAAACAAAACAAAAAAACCTCACAGACTTTCTTGCCTGGTCTGACTTTGAACTTCAGCCTCCTGAGTAGCTAGGAGTATAGGTATGAGCCACTGGTGCCTGGCTTCCTTTCACTTCTTAAATAATTTCAGCATGTTTCCTTGTTCTATATTTTCCCCCCTCCTCCTGCTAGTACATATCTCAAACAGAACCTGTTTTATGTTCCTGTCTCCCTTTTTTTTTTTTGGAGGAGGGAAGGTGTTGATACCAAGACTTGAACTCAGGCCCTCATGTTCTCATTTGGCTTTTTTGATAGCTAATTGGAGATACAATTTTTTTTTTTCTTATTGCTTGGGCTGGCTTCAAACCTGATCCTCAGATATCAGCATCCCAAGTAGCTAGGATTACAGACATGAGCCACTGGTGCCTCGCTAGGATCTGCAGTATTAATGTCTCTTTGGAGTCAGAGCTGTATGTGTAGGAATGAATATAACGAAGTAGAACAGCTTCCATTTCCCTTGCTTCTACATTCCCTTTCCTTGTTCTCTCAACTTCCTTGTCTCATCTTCACATACTCTATGCACATGTCTGTGTCTAAATTATTTTTTTTCCTATAAAGACTGTGGGAACATTGGATTAGGGCCTACTCTATCTCATATAACTTAATTACCTCCTAAATGATCCTGTCTCCAAATACATTCAGAAGTACTTCTGGTGAGGACTTCAACCTATGAACTGGGAGAAAGGAATACAAGTCATAACAAGGCAGAGATTTATTGTAGACATGCTATGGGAAAAGACAAAGTAAGTATTCCAACCTATCTTCCAGGTACTTACATGAGTTTTAGGTTTAAACAGAGGAAGAAGATGGGCATTAGGAGCTCATGCCTATCTACTTAGGAGGCTGAGAACTGAGGATCTAGGTTTGAAGGCAGCTTGGGCAGAAAAGTTTGTGAGACTCCATTAGCCAGCAAAAAGCTGGAAGTGGAGCTTTGGCCCAAGTGATAGAGAACCATCCTTGAGTGGAAAAAGCCAAGCAAGTGCTTGAGACCCTGAGTTCAAGCTCTAGTACTGACACAAAAATAGAGGAAGAGTTGGGACAGAGGGAGAGAAGTATGCATAAACAGTTTCAGGTGATCATTATCTCAGGTTTGTTCTTCCAGGGTATGAGACTTCTCCAGAAGTTATTCTCATCCCTTAGCTGGAGCAATCTGGTTCCCAGGAATGATTATTCCTACTCTAGGATACAGCCTCATCATTACAGATAATTGTTCCCACTTTTGGGGGGTACAGGAGTGTAATCTGACCTTTGAGGTTCTGCTGTTCTTTTCTTTGGGGGGGGATTGTTTCGGTCCCTTATTATAAAGATGTTATCCATCAGTTGTGTACTTTTTGGAACAAATGTGACTATAAAGTGATTGCAAGAGAGAAGAGAATGATTCAACATAAAGACATATAAAATAGAGGCAAGGATGCCAGCATTTTTCTCCTACTTTTCCTAACTTTTGGGCTCAAGTCAGTGCTTTTTTTGTTTTGTTTTGTTTTTAAAAAAGCAGTCTTTAGTACCTATTGTATACTTGCAGCCAGGCAGACCAGCGCATGCGCAGTCGACCTCGCTGAGTATGCAAGGGCGGAGTTTACGGCGGCCCCTAGGGCGCCTGCGCGGGGCCCGGTGGTATCGCGTTTTACAGTGGCGGCGACGGCGGCGTCTGTGGTGTCTCCGCGTGCGTCTGGGTGGCCACACAGCTCAGGGTGAGTGCTCGGCGGCCCGGCTGGATGTCAGGCGGGAGATGTCGGGGCTCCCCGGGCGGCCGCTCGGTGCACTGGCATCTAGGCCTCCGGGACGGAGCCCTTGCCGCCGTGGCGGCGGCCGGTGGGTCGCGGCTCGGCGCTCTCGGACCGCGCACCTGCGGCCGGAAGTGACGCGGCGGCGCGCTGGCCCGCTGCGGGCGGACGGCCCCCGCTCAGCTTGAGGGCCGGGCGCTGCCGGGTCTCGGTTCACGTAGCGAGGCCCTTGAGGGAGCGTTGGGGAGCTGCTCGTCGAGAGCCTCGGGCCTGGCGTTTCTCGGGCCGGGGTTTCCGGCCTCCGGAGCGGTCGTCTGCGGACGCCGGTTCCCCGCGGTGCGTCCCGCCTCGCCTCCGGCGCGCTGTGCCTAGCCCTGGGCCTGCCAGGGTCTCCTCAGTACTTTCTCCCACACGGTAGCCCGACATGATCCGAATCGTGTGACTGTACTGGACATTTGAGAGTAAAATCCCAGGTTCATGTTCTCCCACACCTGAGTGAACGTGTGTCCTTAGATCCGTGCATGGGCGCAGGTGTCCGGTCCACAGTCCAGTTTGTCTCCAGACACAAACCCCAGCACCCAAGGGGGCGGGGGGGGGGGGACAAGGAAGACACTGTTTCCCCAGAAGATACTTTGTAAGGTTTACACAGTGAATCTCGAGCCCTTATCTTGTTGTCTTTAACCGAGTTTCAGCTGCCTTCCACTTCAGACTCACCAGTTCTTTCCAGCCTTTGCCTATATTTTATCGCAAGGTATTAGCTTTCCTTTAGGTCTGATTAAATCCTATTTCTCGCTGGCAGGTGACTCAAACCTGTAATCCTAGCTGCTTAGCAAGCCGAGATCTTGAAGAGTGAAGTTAGAAGCCAATTCAGACAGAAAAGTCCCAAGAGAATATTTCTAATTAACCAGTAAAAATGCCAGACTAGAGACATGGCTCAAGTAGAGTGTCAGCCATAAGCAAGAGAGCTGAGCAAGAAGCCCTGAATTCAAGCCCCAGCCCTCACATTTAAAAAAAAAAAATCCTGTTCATCCTCCAGATAGTGGCTCAGATAGATGACACTTTATCAGAGAGGCCTTTTTTGACCTCCTATCTCTTATAGAAAGTCTGTATTCCCTCCTTCCCTCCCTACTCCTGGGAAAGGGAAGTAGAGCCCAACTGTGGCCTTTCTTCTGAAGATAATCAGACCCCCCCCCCCCCCCCAGGAGAGAAACCTTCTCTTTCTGCTATTCACTTTTAATATTTTCAGCCTTGGCCTCTTCTAACCTTTTGAAATGACCTCTGGCGGCCTGTCAGATCCTTAGGACCCTTAATGCTGCTCATTCTAGTGTTAACCACATTGTGCCCAGACCTCTCTTGCTAGCTCAGATTTGTGTTGTGATGCTCCAGTATCTGGACTTGTAAGCTCTTCATCCATCTCCCTGCTGCCTGTCTGCTTCCTCTCATCTTGGTGACTGTTTACTGTTTATTTTGACTTGTTCTCTGAACCATGCTTCCCTTCAGCAGATATCTCCTCCCCAGTACCCTGGGGATCTGGTGTTCAGATCTTAGCTCATTGTACCATGTTTTTACTCATGTGCTTCTTCAGGAGAAAGTGGCTTCAGTGAGCCATTCCAGGCACATAATACAAAATTCTTGGCATCTTTGAATCCCATGCTTGGTTGCTGGGATTGTTTACTTAGTATGGAGTGAGTAGGTTGGGTATGGGTGGATGGGGGAGGAGCTGGTGCTCATTTCATAGAAATAATGTTTCAGTGCTAAAAGAAATTACTTTTTTAAAAAAGAAACTTTTGTTTATTTGCAGATAAATAAAAAGTAAGTCTGTTTCTTGGTTACTGTGTTGCTTTTTAATGTATTTGTTAATTGTTACACAGATAATAGAGTATGATATCTTTGAGGCTGTTCCTGAGTATGGATAAAATGTAGAACTTTCCTTCATTTCAGTCCCTGCCTTCTCCAACTGTGGCAGGTTTAGTATGTTTGTGTGTATTCCATGTACACAGATACATAGATACACATGTATGAATGCACTCATACTTTGCCCTTGACTATTTTCACTCAACATAGCTGGTTCTACTACTATAAAAAATTTAGTGGCTACATTGACTATTAAAACATGCTATAATGTGCATTCTTCTGTTATGTATGATCAGAGACAATCTGTAGTATATTTTTGTCCATATGATTGTTTCTGTGAAAGCAGCCCAGCCTCTGTAGAAACCATTCTTTGAATTTTATCCTTTTTTTGGGTTAGCATGGCTGTCCAATCTTCTCTGTCTCACAGTGTTTGGCTTTGGCAGCAAGTGGCATTCATCAGCTTTACAGTTTTGAGGGCAGATAACTGAGACTACAGTGTGCCATATCTCTCTGAAATAAGTATGTACAACCAGAGTTGTTGTGCAAAGGTCTATGCATTGAATATTTTGACCTCTATGGCTAAATTGTCCCCCAACGAGCTGTATAATTTATATTCTTACCAGCAGCACTGGAAGGGCTCTCCTTCTTGTGTATAGTGGATATTGTCCTGCTTGCCATCCTGATGGGTGAGAAGTTGCATTGTTCATTGAAATGAGCTTATTTTTGAGAACATTGTAATTAATCTCTTGGATTAATTACTTGTTCAGAGTTCTTGTTTACTAGGTAGATGTTCAGAGTTCATATAAAGTTTTTTCTTCATTGATCCTCTATATTGCAGTTGACCAATCCACTAATGATGCCATAGCACAGTGATTATGCTGATTGGAAGGAAGACAGCAGCCAGTCCTCTTCAGTTGTTGTAGGTGTCCCTAAGGATTGGATTGCTGGCTTCCTCAGCTGGCCACCCAGATGTTCTTTGTACATGGCATACTTGTTTCTTCTTTTGGCTAACCTTTCTTATTATCAGGAGATGTAATGAATAAAAACAACAGCTAGAAATTAACACTTAGAAACTTGCATTTATGTAATTAGTAGTTATTACTTGATGATGCTTTGAGAAATCGTGAATTAGTTATAAAGTATTTAAGATATAATAATTATATGTAACCAAGAAGCTTATAATTTTTTTCCTTGTCTTTTCAGATAGCCTGTAGAAGATGCCCTATGAGGAAATCCCTCACTCAAGTCAAGCTCAGGAGCAAGATGGCTTTCAAAGTTACCATGTCAGTGCTAGTAAAGAAACAGCAACTGAGCCAGAAAATGGTGGGAATGGGGAGGCAGAGAAGTGCCTTCCCTCTCCTTCCTCTGACTATGATCTGTCCACCCCAGCTGAGGCCTGTGCATCAGTGGCTGGGAGGAGAGGGCCTAGCCTGCTGCATATCGACAGGCATCAGATTCCAGCAGTGGAGCCTAGTGCGCAGGCCCTGGAGCTGCAGGGCCTGGGAGTGGATGTCTATGACCAGTCCGTGTTAGAGCAGGGTGTGCTTCAGCAGGTGGACAGTGCAATGCATGAGGCCAGTCGTGCCACCCAGCTTGCTGATGCTGAAAAGGAGTACCGGTCGGTCCTAGATGACTTCATGTGAGTATAGTCCACTGATTCAGAGTTTGTATTTAATCATGGCAAGGAAATTAATGTAATGGAAAACTGTAACATTCCAGAAGTGTAGGGGGTTTATTAAACCTCTTATCCTGAGCCTGGCACTGGTGGCTCACTCCTATAATCCTAGCTACTCAGGAGGCTGAGATCTGAGTATCATGGTTCAAAGCCAGCCTAATCAGGAAATTCTATGAGGCTCTTATCTCCACTAAACTGCCAAAAAAGCTAAAAGTGGAGATGTGGCTCAAGTGATAGAGCACTAGCCTTGAGCAAAAGAAGCTCAGGGACAGAGCTCAGGCCCTAGAACTGGCACCAAAACCAACAACCACCACCACCACCACCAACATTGAAAGCTTTTATTCAGGACTAGTAAAGACAGCCTCGTCCTTCCCCTCAGGTGTAGCACTGTATTATGCATGCTAAGCAGAGGCTCAGTTCAGCTGGCAAAGGCCTATCTCCTACCTTGTGTACTGAAGAGAAGGGATATCCTTTATAAATGTCCTGTCACTCACCAGCACATGCACTGAGGTCCCAGGAACAGTGCACCTGCACTTTGAGTGTCTCCTCCCTGAGATACTAGTGATACTTCCTGCCTCCTCATCACATTGTTCTCTGTGCTCTAGTTTATTTCCAGCTTGCTGTCCCTAAATGGAGTGTTTAGTCCCTTAGCAGTTTTTCAGATCTGCATTTCTAAGTCTAATGAGAAAAAACTCCCTACCATTCCATTCTTTGGTGCTGCCTCTGATTCTGAAAGGAACTGTTATAGAGAAGAGAACAGTGTATTTCATGGAGAGGAGGACCTGGCCTGGGCTGGTGAAGGAGAGTTGAGCCTCCTCATTATTGCCATTGGGTGATCTTTTGGGCAGGGTTAGGCAGAAGAGAACCTGAGGACTGGACTGGGTAGAGAAAAGGCATGTTGTTGTGGGTGGCTAGAGGAGAGAGGTATGGTGCTGGTAGCTACCCTGTTGGGAACCATGTATAGGTAACTTGGTGCTTAAAGGACATGCTTTCTGCTAACAGTTCCTTGGTGCATATGTGCATTCATGTGTGCATGCCTGACTTGGAGTTTGAACTCAGGGCCTGGGTGCTGTCCCTGAGCTTTTGTGCTCAAAGCTACTACTCTGCCACTTGGGCTACAGCTCCACTTCTGGTGGTGTATTTGGTTGTTAATTGGAGATAAGAATCTCATGGACTTTCCTGCCGCTGCTGGCTTTGAACCATGGTCCTTAAATCTTAGCTTCCTGGGTAGCTAGGATTGTAGGCGTTAGCCACAGCACCTGGCTCTTTTTAATCTGGTTTTGGTGGTTTTCACCTCTTGAAAATCAGCCGGGCGCTGGTGGCTCATGCTTGTAATCCTAGCTACTCAGGAGGCTAAGAGCTGAGGATCACAGTTCAAAGCCAGCCTGGGCAGTAAAGTCTATGAGACTCCTATCTCCAACAAAACCACCAGAAAACTGGAAGTGGTGCTGTGGGTCAAGTGGTAGAGTACTAACCTTGAGCTGAAGAGCTGAGGGACAGTGCTCAGGCCCAGAGTTCAAACCCCATGACTAACCTCTACCCCCCCCCGCCCCCCCCCCCCAAAAAAAAAAAGCAAATCAGATATTCTTGGCCTTCAGTGTTGAGGGCAGCCTCAGATCCTTGTTGTGACACAACCTTTTACATTTGATTTTGGATATGTGCCTGCTTCCTCTTCCTACAGAGGTGACAAGACAGAGGAGAATGCTATGACATGGCTGGTGACATGTGATGTCTTAGATGGCTAAAAAACTTGCATTGTTAATCCTAAAATCCAGAAAGAATTCAAGTGGCAAGTTAGATACATAGGCAGAAGATTGAATTTCTGTTTTTAAAACTGGAAACTATAATTCTGTGATACCTATTTTAGGAGCAAATCATCTTTTTGTCCTCATACCATGAAGTGTAATGTTACGGTAGATAAATCTAGTTGTGGGAAATAAAAACATGTCACAAGTATATACTTTAATAAGAAAATAAATGTTTAAGTACTTTCGACTTTTCTAAATTTAGGAGGCTTCCAAATGGGCTTTAAAAAAATGTGTATATGCATTTCTTCATATGTAAAAGTACAACTTATTACACCATTTCCTAGCTGAATGTCTTGAGTGAAGAAGACACTTAAGAAAGGCTGGTAGGCCCAGGTGCTGGTGGCTCACATCTGTAATCCTTGCTACTCATATGGCTGAGGTCAGAGGATCTCATGAGACTCCATGAAATACTTGTCTCCAAGTAACCAAAAAACCAGAAGTGGAATTTGTAGTTCAAGTAGGGCACCAGTCTTGAGCAAAAAGCCTAGAGATAGTGCCCAGGCCCTAAGTTCAAGCCCAAGGATTGACATGCACATGCAAAATATTCTGGTAGAAGGAATGAGTCAGTTTACAAGTGGGTCTGAGCTAAGTCAGAGAAGAGAAGAGCAGTAGTAGTTATCTTAAACTTCTAACCATTTTTTGGCTAATAAAAAAATGTGCATTTTAGCCGGGTGCAGGTGGCTCAAGCCTGTAATCCTAGCTACTGAGGAGGCTGAGATCTGAGGATCACAGTTCAAAGCCAGCCTGGGCAAGGAAAGTCAGACTCTTATCTCCAGTAAACCACTAGAAAACTGGAAGTGGCACTGTGGCTGAAACGGTAGAGCACTCGCCTTGAGCTGAAGAGCGCAGGGACAACACCCAAGCCCAGAGTTCAAGCTCCACGACCGACCAAAAAAAAAAAAATGTGCATTTTGGTTTAGTTTTCCTTAAGTTTTAGTTCCTAAGAAGTAACAGACATGTTTTTTTAGCCTTTTTTTCCTCTTTGTATTATGCTAAAAGAAATGTTACCATAGTGTGGAAAGCTGAAAATTTGTCTTCTTTTGCAGGTCATGTATGAAGTCCTTAAGGCAGATCAATAAAATTATTGAACAACTTAGCCCTCAGGCTCCCACCAGCAGAGACATCAGCAGGAAACTAGATTCTGTAAAACGGCAGAAGTATAATAAGGTGATTCAAAATCACATATTAAGGATTACATTTAAGGTTTCATTTTAGCCCACTTGATAATAGAGCAAGCGTTTTGCAAAGTTTAATCTATGAAACAAGTGTTTATAATTACAGCAGAGGAATTTTGAATTGCTTGTGTATTAAACGTTTATATTGTCAACTGATTCTCCTTTACATTTTCTATTACACAGTATTTTATAAAGTCCCACACATAGAGCCACGAGCACACAGATCTGTGCACAATGCATCCATAATGTCTGAATTTGAGAGCAGTTATAGTGTGGTTTTTCCAGTGTGGCCTCCTCACCCTTGTGCTTTTCCAGACCCCTCTCTTGCCACCGTTTTCCTCTTTGTCACTTTCTCCTGGGCATGTTGGTCTCTCACTCAGCCTCCTTGTTTCATGGGGACCTTGCTTTTTGGCTTGTTTTCACTGATCATTGCCCCTTTGTGTCCTGTTGCTACAACTGTCTCTTCTCGCACGTCCTGTTTCCACTTTTGGGAGGCTGGCCCATTATCCCTGCCTTGGGTATTATAGTCAATACCCATCCAGACTAGAGCTGCACTTAGTGTTGAAGAATTTTAAGGTTGGGAGTAAGGAGAATCTGTTACTTGGGATATTATTTTTGTGAGGTTTGAAACTTTGTTTTAGGGTTTGTGTATAGTTTTAGGAGGTTTGAAACATGGTTTTGGATTAATATGCTGCAGTAGGTGGTAATGACTGGTGTTGATCATGGCAGTTCTGCCATTCAAAATGACTAGCAACATACTGTGCTTACAATTGGTTCAGGACTCCTTATAGTTTTGATTTGAGTTAGAGAGGTGAGAATGGGTACAAACTAGTTCATATGCTTCTCCTTTTGCTTTTTATACACTAGTCCATTATCTTCCCGAAAGGTTAGAGCTAGCAGCAGCTCATTGCAGATGGGGACTTCCCAAATTGAAGGGAACATCGGGCCTCTAGGGAGCATGTAAATTGATGTAGAGATACCATTGACCATCTTGGGCTTCTAATAGGCTGAGATTTCAACAGTGGAGATTACCAAATGTTAGACCACTTTAGGTCCTAGTCTCAATTATATTTTCCTGTCTTTATTTAGCAACTCCTTGGTGTTTAAAGATAAACTATTCAGTGTAAAAGTGCTTTAAAGAGGATTTTGCTAAGCAAAAGTCTTGAGCAAAAGACAAATTTTAAGTTCATGTAGTATGCTGTTTATATTTGTTCAGGAACTATTCTTCTTGCTCTATACTCATATTTGGAGTTGTATCTTTTTATTTTTTTCATGATGCTGGGGACCAAACCCAGAGTCTCACACATGCCTCAATGTTGTATTGCTATGGTGTTGACACTTTATTTTTCCTGTGAAGATGAGCCAAGTATTACTGGCTTTATTAATTGAGAGGCTGTGGGAAGGTCACATATTTAAGTTCTGATAATATCAAGGGAAATAAGGCAAAGAGTAGCCTGGGACAGGTAGGATAAAGAGGTATAGCAAAATGTATTTGTCTTTGAAACTTTTGTGATTGCAAAGGGGTAGAGTAGGATTAGGAAAGAAAACCATGGACATTTATCAAATGTGAGTGACTTTCGTTTTTTAACTATTTGACTTTAAAAACAAATTCTTAGCTCTATGTCCCATTGCCCTCCATTGCCTGTTGGCTGGTAAGATCAGAAATGAGAAGGCTAGTGATGTGTCTAATGATGAAGTCTAGCAAGGGGACTCCAGTGGACAGTTCTACCTCAATAGTCAGTATACATGACTGGAAAGCTGTGTGTGCTATGTGTGCAGGGGGAGAGTTTGTGGGCAGAGCTGGCTGCCTGGCAGGAAGACATCAAAGCTGACCTGGTAGTTGCTCAAATAAGGTTCTCTATAATGATAGTAATAGATGTGAGTTCTGTTTTATTTTTAATTTTATTCTTGATTACAGTTTTAAAATTTTATATCTCACAATAAGTCACTTCATAGTTATGTTGTATACTTGGGATTTACCCTTCAAGGAACAGCAGCTGAAGAAGATAACTGCAAAGCAGAAACGTCTCCAGGCCATCCTGAGAGGAGCAGAGGTACAAGTGGAGTTGGAGCATGCTAGCCTGGAGGAGGATGCAGGTAAGGAAATGGGAGCAGCTCTCAGTGTTCTTGAGTTAATTTCCTGCGCCTATATCCAAGGGAAGGTGTCTCTCTAGTTTTATCATGAGCTTTGAGAATTACATATTTCTTTGCCTCTGTGTCATAATGGAAAATTTTATCCTCCTGCAGAATCAAACCTCTTAAGTCATGTGGGGCTTTTAGAGAATGAAAGTACATTTTTAACTCGGTTCACTGGAGGCTACTGATGCACATTTAATAAATTGGAAATGTTAAACATTCTTATACAGTTAATTTGATAAAGAGATCTGCATCTTGATTGAATTTCATTTTGGAAGCCCAGCATCATCAATCAGCATCTGTAGTATTGCTTTCACATATCTTCAAGGAGCACATTTGGCAGGCTTTCCAACCTTCCATTCTGTTGTTTAAAAAGAAAAGACATGCAGGTTTTACCATGGCCGTGATTTTATTCACATTACCCTTAGGGTTAGAAATTGTTGGTTGCTGTCCCGCTCTCACTGCTTAAAATATAGGTTAAGCTCCCTAATATTTGGAATTTCGAAGTGAATACTTTGAACTGGCTTCAGACATTTAATCTCTAAGACAAGAATTGTTAGGAAGAACATAACAGTAGGTAATATAGAAAATATTAGATGTGATTTTTGTGGGGTTTTTTTGTCTTGAATGTAGTAGGCATGAATGTGGTGACCCCTCCCAGCAGTCCTCTTGCTTCCCCAAGGCTTCCTTTTCCCTGCTCTGTATAAGCAGCTGTGAAGGTTCACTGATAGTAGGTAGGATGAGGACACTGTGATCTAGAAGACAATGAGGGTGCTCACTTACCTTCTTATTCAGGATAGTACTGGACAATGTAGGAAGAAAGGGAATACAAAACATGAGAATGGAACAAAAGAAGTGAAACCATCATTCATAAGATAGTATGGTTATGGGTATAGAAAACTCAAAGGAGCCAGGTGTAGGTGGCTCATGCCTGTAATCGTAGCTACTCAGGAGCTGAGATCTGAGGATCACAGTTTGAAGACAGGTGGGGCAGAAAAGTGTGAGACTCTTATCTCCATTTAATCACAAAAAAAGCCAGAAGTGCACTGTGGCTCTCGTGTAGAGTGCTAGCCTTGAGCAAAAAGGAGCTCAGAGACAGTGCCCAAGCCTAGACTTCAAGTGCCAGAACTGGCAAATAAAAAACCCTCAACGGAATTGATGAATAATCTATTGAGATTATTATGAATTTAGCAATATTGCTAAATGATACACAGGATATAAATATTCATCTTCTTTTACAGAAGATTTTTACTAATGTACAAGAAAGGATTTCATTGTGATATTTCTGTGCATTCAAACAATGTACCCTGAGAAACTCTCCCTCTCTGCCCCTCTTATTTCCCTTCTTCCTACTTAAAACAATTTCAACTAGTTTCATTATTCTCTTTACATACATATAAAGTACTTCAACCATATTCACCTTCCTACACTCTCTGCCTTTGCCCTATTTGCTCTCACTGGTACCTACCTTCTAGCATAGCTTGTTTTATTATGATTTTTTCCATTCATTTTTTAGCATATATTGTGCAAAGGGTTTTACCATGGTAATTCACATGTGTATATAATTTAGTCAGATTAACCTATATCTATTGTTCTGTTTTTTTCTTCCTCTCTACCCCTATTTCAGTGGTTTCTTTATGCTATCTTTAGGTATAAAGAAGACATTATTAGGCATTAAAAAATCATTTTCATATACCAAAAAATTTAATGAAGATGCCACTTATAATTAAAATCAAATACTTAGAAATAAGTGTTAGCAAAAACCCACACAGTTTTCTGCAGTGTATTTACTACTTTAAAAACTACCACATGTCACTGGAGAGTTAGAGAAGACCCAGTAGATAGGGAAGTACAGTGTGGCTGTGCATTGCAAACATTGCTGTAGTTTTAGTGTAATGCCAGTATAAGTTTAGGGTTTTTTTTAAGGTAATTCAGTTTTTATCACTTCTTCATTATACAGTCTTATTGTTGGTATTTAATGCAAAAGCTATGAGTTAAAAATGTAAGTTGAGGGTAGAGGTATCAGTAAGCTCAATCTACAATTTGCATAAAGATGCATTAAGCCAAGAATAGCTAAGGAAATCCTAAAAAACAACATAAGATCTGTTATAAAGCTGTTTAGGCAGTGTGGTATTGGCACAAGGATGCACACACATCCATGGGACAGAATCAAGTGTTCAACTGTGACAGAAAAGTAGCCTTTTCCATCATGGATACTGCCTTAATCCAAATGAAAATAAACTATAAACTCTATGTACAAGAGTATATTCCAAGCAGATTAGAGGTCTGAATGTTAATGTTTTGATTTGCATTTACTTTATGGTAGGGATGTTTAGCATTTCTTCATGTGTTATTGCCTCTTAGCTTTTCTTCTTTTCAGAATTGTCTGTTCAGTTTATTTTCACTAATAAGAAGTGAGATTGCATTGACTTTGTAGATTGCTTTCAGTATATAGCCATCTTCAAAATATTCATTCTGCCAATATGCGCATAGGAGTTCTTTCTATTTCCTGGTGTCTTCTTCAGTTTCCTTCTTTAAGGTTTAATAGTTTTCATCTAAAAAAAACTACTTCTCTAATGTCTTATTGTTGAATCTATTCTAAATAGAAATGAAGAACTAACTTTTTTAAGGACATATGGACTGAGAACAATAGGGAGAAGAATTCACATTTTCTATATTAAAGATGCTGTTCAAAGATTAATAGATCTATGAAAGACACACTGGTTTACTAGTCATTAAGAAATGTAAGTGTGTTGTACCTCACACCTATCAGAATAGCTTAATGGAATAGCAAGAATGTGGACCAAATACCGTTGGTAATGCTTATAGTTTACATCGCTAATACTGCTTCACATATCTGTTTAACAAGTTTAACATACCTAAAGAACTATATACATTTATTACCAAAGGATGTGTACTGGAATATTTGTAACATCATTATTTCTGGTGGTCAAATCCTGGAAGCCATCCAGATGTCCATTAACAGTGAAATGGAAAAATTGTAGTATTGTCATATAGATTGCTAGCAACAGGGAGAGTTAACAAACTTCAGCTTCACTCAGCAAATCAATATGGACCTACAAGCATAATGCTGAGCAAAGCAGGCAGACACATGAGTAAAAACATCCCATTTACACAAAGTTCAGAGCCAGGCACAACTCATCTATTGAAGTAGACCTGTCAGATCCTGATTTCTGGGTCAGCTGGAAGCCAGGAGGTGGCATGAAGGGTGCTCTGGGGATGCTAGAAAATTATGTTATTTCATCTGGATGCTGTTAAATGAGTAAAACTTTTCTTCCTGAATATTCATTGAGCTTTACCATTTGTGTACTCTGATATATTTTCAATACAACTTCAATAAAAAAAAACTGGTTGCAGTATCATTGGCCTACAAGAATAATAGATTTCTTAAGGGACTTTACCCAAAAATTAAACATGGAACTAGGAATTCTACTTCTGAGTATAGAACTAAAAGAACAGAAAGCTGGAACTAGAAGAGATACTTGTGTACCCATGTTGAGAACAGTATGATGTATAAGTTAAGAGGTAGAAGCAGCCCAGGAGTAACTGGTAGAGGACTAAACCCATCAGGGCAGAGTTGTTTCATGGATTTAATCAGCTTTGAAAAGGAAGGAAATTCTGACACGTGCTACAATGTGAGTAGAGGCTGAGGGCATTAGGTTAAGCGATTCCACTCCCAGGAGCTACCGAGGGTGCTCATATGCAGAGAGAGCATAGCGATGGCTGCCTGGGGTTGGTTGGAGAGGAGCTATTTAATAGGTGCAGAGGGGAGCTCTGGGGAAATGAGAAAACCCTGGAAGTAGGGGGGTAGTGATGGCTGCACAATGCCACAAAGGTACTTGATGCACTAGACTGTACCCTTAAAAGTGGATTTAGAATGTCCATTTTAGGCACTGTATATTTTACTTCAAGAAAACATAATAAAATAGAAGGTATTTTATATATATATATATATACACAAGGAATCACATGAATTTTTCCTGTTAAGCCTTATATCTTTTGGTTTTTCTGATTATGTGGTAATTATTTTGCTGGGGATTAATTTTAATGAAGGAGGAATAATTTCTGGATGGCTTTATACTCATAGCAACCTTTAAAATTTTTCATCTCTTCCAGTCACTGACCAGTGAACCTTTTTTACAATGAGAGACATAATTTCTTTCTTGTCTATATGTGGCCATTAGGGACCTGGAGCTATTGAGAATTTACTGGATGGCAAGAATAACTACATTTCAGTATTTAACTTATTTTTTTATTTTTATTTTTTATTGTGAAAGTACTATACAGAGGGGTTACAATTATATGGGCAAGATAATGAGTATATTTCTTATCAAGCATTGTAGCCTCCTCCTTTGTTTCCCCTTCCGATCCATTTCCCCCCACCACCACCACCAAAGTTGTATAGTCGTTTTCGACATAACGACTTGTACATCTCATTGTTGCAACGGGTTCACCTGTATCCCTATTTAAACGATTTGTTTTTTCCCTTCCCCTCCACAAATTATAACAACACCAAATACAGTGAAAGCAGGGGTTATACCGAGGGGGAGGGACATACAAAGTAACAAAGAAATAATCTTATAAATGTGTTAGAAACAATCGCATGAAAGAAAAAAAACATTTGAATACATATCTTAGGGTTCATTTCCCTAACATCAACTTAACTGACAAATTTTTGTTTTTGTTTTTGTTTTGCTGTTGCTGTTGTTGTTTAAGATAAGAGTCTGAGGGACTTTCCTGCCCAGGCTGGCTTTGAACCTCCATCCTTAGGTCTTAGCCTCCTGAGTAGCTAGGATTACAGGTACGAGCCACTGGCACCTAGGTAACTTAAATTTTAGAAAGCCACACGGGACTGCTAGCTACCATACTAGGGTGTACAGAGCTGGCATGTTATGTTTTTCCTCTCCTTATTGCTGTATGGAAAACATTCAAGTTTTCTTTTCTAGCTATTCGAAACACACAGTACATTATTGTTATCTCTAGTTTCCCTACAGTTCAACAGAACTTTGTGTTACCATCCAACTGCAGCAGTACCATGGATCAGTCTTCCCCTTCCCACTTTCACCCTGCTTTTCCCAGCCTTTGGCCAGCCACCATTCCAAGCTCACTTTCTATGATATCAACCTTTCTAGATTTCATGGGAGTGAGATCTTTCTATGTCTGGTGTATTTCATTTAGCATAATGATTTCCAGTTCTATCAGTACAACCACAGGTGAAAGAATTTCTCTTTTATGGCAAAATAGTATTTTGTGGTACATATGTATTATTTTTATGTAGTGCCATATTTAGAAGAAAAGTTACTGAGAAAATGTGCCAAATCTGGCCTTATGAATGTTATCATCAATTTTACTTTATGCTTTAGTGCTCTGATTTTTTATAATGTGAGTTATTGCTATTTTTGTAACAAGTGAATTTTTCTAATGTGCTCTGGAAAGTTTTACAATAATCTGTACTGTCAATTCCTTTTTAGAGCCGGGACCATCCTGTTTGGGCAGTATGCTCATGCCTGCTCAGGAAACTGCATGGGATGAGCTCATCCGCACTGGTCAGATGACACCATTTGGAACCCAGGTCCCTCAGAAACAGGAGAAAAAACCTAGAAAAATAATGCTCAATGAGGCATCGGGCTTTGAAAAATATCTGGCAGATCAAGCAAAACTGTCTTTTGAAAGGAAGAAGCAAGCTACTAATAAGAAAGTAGCCAGAAAAGCCCCGGTCCTCTGTGAGTCTAACACAGGACCAAATGAAAACAGACCAAGCCAGGGAAGCAAAGTTGTCTCAAGAGCAGACCAACGCTTGAAGAAGCACATGAGGAAGCTGCAGAGAAGGGCACTGCAGTTCCAGGGCAAAGTGCAGTTGCCAAAGGGGAAGAAGTCCCTGGAGCCCCAGGGGGGGCCAGAGACAGAGGTAGATTCTGAGGGTGAGGAGTTTGGCTCCTTCCCCACAGAGGAGATGGAGGAGGAAGAAGAGGAGGAAGAAGAAGACAGGACAGGGGCTGAGCTTTCTGAAGATGGCACAGATTATGAACTGAAACCTCTACACAGGGGCCGAAAACGCCAGAAAAAAGTCCTTGCACAGGAAGTTGATGATGACTTTTTCCCAAGTTCGGGGGAAGAAGCTGAAGCCACAGGGGAGGAAGGAGGAAGAGGAGGAGGTCGCAAAGAAGCGAGGTGCCGAGATGATGGAGATGAAGATTATTACAAGCAGCGGTTAAGGTCAGTCCGCAGAGGTGGTCAGCAGATTCTGGTTGTTTGCTGTGGGCTGCAGCTTTATTCATATGTAAGCATTCTAGCCTACTAGAACCAGGAGTCTCAGTCCTCAGGAGTTCTAGACGTTAGTCTAGTATTAAGAGCTTTAGAGAAAGGCTGAAGCAAGCCCAGGGCAGGAACCAAGTGTGAGCTGTGTGGCCTGGGGGATGTATGTGTCAGGAAAAGGACAAACTGAGTGGAGGGTTATTTTTCCCCCTTTTGAAGAAGGATAGTAATTTAGAGGAATGAAAAACAACAAAAAACACTTGAAACTTTAGTGTTGGCATATGAAAGAATAAGCTTACTTTTTATTAGTGCATGTTAACTCTATAAATGGGTTTCATTGTTTCATTACATACATGTAAATAATGTGTTTTGATAAAATTCACCTCAGTTGAATAATTTATGAAGCTTGCTTTCATAATTCCCTCCTCCCTTGTCTTGAGAAAATCGTCATCTGTGGAATTGTAAACCACCATTGTGTCTCAGTATACACAGCTTATTGCCTCCATGGCATTGTCATTATATGCTGGGAGATGAAAAGGGTGTGAGTGTGTATGACATGGAATCAGAATCTCCATGGCCATGTTTCTGTGTGCCAGAAAGCAATCCACATACAGCAAGGCTCCACCATGTCCCAGTGAGCACACATTACATATATTTGCTCTGTAAGAATGCCCAGGAGGTCAAGGGGGAAAAGGAACCAAAGCATTTTTAAAGTATGAATATTGGGATGGCTTTTTTCTGGTCTTCAAGAGGTTTCCTTTTACATCTTCAGTATGGGCATACCTAGTTTTAAAAAAATTTTCGTAGCATTCCACTGGCCTTTGTGAATGTTAATCTGTGGTCTTTTGTTTTTGAAGTGTTACTCTATGTATTTTATTTCCACCAGTTATACTCTCCATCCTTTCTAAGACCAATATATTGTCTTTTTACAATCATAATTGGACTTTGTAATATAATTTTATATCATATATTATGAACATTTGTGACCATAAGAAATTTCTTGAAACTACTTCTACTTGATCTGCGGTTTTTCTTCTGTTGCTTAGAACTGCTCATGAGCCATGTGTGAATGCATATTGCATAAACTTTTCAGAGGCAGAATAGTTATTTAAAAATAATTTGAGATTGGGCACTGATAGTTCACACCTATAATCTTAGCTACTCAAAAGGCTGAGATTCAAAGCCCAAGACTGGGCATTCTTACCTCTGGTTACCTAGCAAAATGTTAGACTGGAGGTATGACTCAAGTGGTAAAGCAAGAAAACTAAATGAAAGTGCAAGGCCCCAAGTACAAGCTTCAGTAGCAGCACACACAGAACCTTTTTTTTTTTCACAGATCGATTACTTAAATCCAGTTCTTGAGAGACGTTCACTCACTTCAGTAGCAATTTAGGAAATAATCTAGTGGAGTAGGCTTATGTCCTACTGCAGGTTTAACTAATGTATGCACCTAATATTTGTACTGTCAGTTAAGGACTGCTGCTCAATACTTCTGAACAGTGAGCTGTGTCTGTCTTTTTTTTAACTACTGTAGAAAATTAATAAAATGTTCATCTCAACATATTGATTATAAATGGAGCAATATATATTCTTCTCATTAAACTTGGTCAATATTAAATATATTTTAAATAATGTCAGTATTTTGTTCAAGAGCAATTTATTTGATTGGATTTTAAATATGGGTATAGTTTAATTTTACAGCAGTAAGTTTTTCTTAATAATGTTAAGATTGTAAAACAATTTATTATTTCCAGAGCCATATAAGCCAAGTTTTTTTTGCTAAAGTTACAATAGACTCTCAAATGAATTTCTAAAATATCAATAAGTCTAATTGCCACCAAAATACGATAGCTCTTAAAATTTTATAGCTAGTTATTAAGAATGTTAAACTGTATATATCTACATTGAACTGTTTGTATTACATCTCCTTTGGTGCTCTTTGGATTGAGGGATATTAAAAGAAATTAAAATGCTTAGGATTGTGAATCATATTAAGAACATTCACGAACTGCCAGTCACTCTGTATTTGCTGATCTTTATAGATGGATGGAAATCATAGTACTATCCCATGGAGGGAAGAACGTCAGGATTGTCTGTCTTAGCAGCAGCTTGATGACAAGTGATCATAAGAAAGCTCTGTAGTTAAAATATACAAAATGAATTTTTCTGTACTTTTAGCATTTAGAACTTAGTCCTATATACCTAGACTGGGAACCTTACAGAACTTAACAAATACATGCTGGTTATAGCCTGTTAATTATAGTGTTTTTTAAAAATTCTCAGATGTAAGAGCAGATGACTTTCCTAGACATCTCATCCTCTTTATTCCCTCAGCTGGAGAGTTAGCCTTTTATTAGTAGCCCTAGTCTCATCCTAACTAGGTATCTCTGTTTTACTGGGTACTCAGTGAAGTTTCCTATCCCTTCTGTTGCCTGGGGCCATGGTAGTAGGGACCCTGCTTTCTCTGATTTGGCCCAAGTCTTCAGCTCAGTCTGCCTGCCTACTTCTCTCCTCCCCTCCCCTCCTCTCCTCTTCTCTCTCCTCCCCTCTCCTCCCCTCCCTTCTCCTCTCTGCCTTTCTTTTCTTTTCTCTCTCTCTTTTTCTTGTGCTAATTCTAGAACTCAAGTTCTTGCTTAGCTTTTTTACTCAAAGCCAGCACTGTAACACTTGAACCACATCCCACTTCCAGAGTCTGTTGGATTTGTCTGCTTATTCTGGTTTTGAACCATGATCAAATCTCAGCCTCCTAAATGGCTAAAATTACAGGCTTGAGCCACCAGCATCCAGCCTAATTTCTAGTTTAAAAGAATTGTGCTCTGATTTAGGAGGCCTTTGAGGTTATTGGAGAGAATTGTTGGTAAGGATGTTGGGTTTGAGTTGTACTACTTTTTTCTGTACTCTGCCTTAGCGTAGTATTGCATGTGGGATAATCCTCTCTACCTGCACCACAGGCAGTAAAACACAGGAGATCTGAGAAGTCGTCTTCACAGGTGCCTGTCTTCCCAGAGAGTCTGGTACCCTGGAATCCATTTATATTGGGAGATCTGCCTGCTATGGAGCTTTTCTACCCTTTTTGTGCCTTTTTACACCTTCTTTAATTGCAAAAGGATAACAATATTAGAATGAAAAAATATTACCTATATTTTGAGTGTTTTTTCTATGTTATTCCAGTCTTTGATTCTGTGCACACATATATTTACATTGCTGTAGTTACAGCAGGTCAGTGGGTTGTTATAAACCCATAGCTCTTCCCAGTTTAGCAGTGTCTATATAGTCTCAGTACTAAGCAGTAGAGCTGAAGTTTGAAGGTCAATGCTAGTAGGAAGTGCAATATGTAGATATGACCACAAGGTGGTGCTAACAACCAACATATTGTTGCCTTTACCAAAGCAAATAGATGAGCCAGGATTTGGGATTTGGTGATGGGATGAAGATAGGGAGTCTAAAAGACCTGCCAAGCATGGTGGAGGTGGGGGTAGAATTTGCCTTGTGGCCTGGAGTAAACTAGACATGTATGATGCCTCTTGTTGCAACTTGCTTTTAATTCAGTTTTGATCCTTGTTTTTCTTTCCTTGTTAGATTTTGGTTGCATACATGTGTAGTTCTGAGTGGAACAGGTTCTAGCATGCTGACAGGTCAGACTGCTTGGGAGGGTTCAAGCAAATAGGGTGAGTGTTGGACTTGTATAGATTTAGAGGGTTGGTGGCCTCTGTGACATGAGCAAGTGTGTAAATGCTGGAGTAAGGGGACATAAGAGCCACCATAGCTGATAGCATTGAAATTTGAATGTGTTACCAACTTGGCGATACTTTGAGGCACCTGTGTGATTGGTTTAGTCTTCATAGCCTCCTAGGAAATAGAAATACTCCTTTTGCCGAGGTATAGTGAGTGGAAGAGCCTTGAAAAAGAGAAAGTGATTTTGGCAGTTGGGAGTGTTCCGGTGGCTTGATCTGCTACAGTGGACTCAGGCCAGCGCTGCCCTTAGGGATGGGCCTCTCTCTTTGCTTAGAGCCAGTTCTACACCTTCCTGGGCCCTACGGTGCCCCAAGCACTGCGCTGTCCCAGCTTCTGTGTCTCCATTGTGCTGTGTTCATGAGCCTTTCTTTCCCTTTTAGCCCATTGACCCTGGGATTGTTCCCATCTGTTCTCTAGTTAGATTTTGCTTGAACTAAATGACGCAGTCAGCAGTACTTAAGGAAAACCCATTCAATTTGATATACCTTTTCCTGTTTATTTATAACTGGAATGCAGTAACTGTGAAAGGTCTGAATTCTAGATTTGATCCAGAAGCCTAACTACAATGATTTTAAGATTGTCCTTATCATTTATTTCTGAAGTTCATTTCTTTCTCCAAAATAAGTCACTCTTTTATTTTATTTTGTTTTTGTCTAGGAATCTATATTTTAAAGAGAAAAGTTACTCCCCTAAGGATATTTTCTTAGAGAGTGTGTTGGCTTCTTTGAAATGACAAAGCTGAGACACAAATGAAGACTAATTCTGCTTCCTGCTGTACACACACCTTTCATTCTTAGCTCTGGGCATAATTGTCTGCATCAGTCTTAATTTACTCTGTGAGATCTGGACTCCTAACTGAGGGTATTTCATCGCTCAGATGTGCCAATTAAGTCTACCCAGATAGACCATAAAAAGGCAGATCAGAAAAGTAAAACACTGAGTGTCTCAATTTAGCAAATTAGACTAATCTGTAAGGAATTCTTAGCTGTCTGAAATAGAAAACCTATTGCACCACAAAAATGCAAACTATATTAAATACCCAGCTTGGTGCCTGAATATATTTTTAAAAATCAAATTGTACTCATTGTGTTGCTGATATAGAGTTTCTTTCATGGAGATCTCAATAAGTAGAGAATGATCCTGAGGTAGAAATTTCACTTTATTTTAAGACTGATTTAACTCTGATGTGTACGTCTTCCTTTCCAATCAATGAAGATTTAAAACTG